CAAGCCTTGCGAGAAGCTGAGCTACCATGCTTGCTTGCCCCCTACCTTCTACAGCACGTTGCTCGACGATGCGCAGGACGACGTCGACCTGCCCGAGCTCGACCCTGACGTGCACGCCGACCCAGAGCATCGCTGGGACATCGCGACGATGACAGTGAAGGAGGCCCTGGCGAGCTGGAAAGGCAAGGCAGTGAAGGCGGCGATGGACGAGGAGATTCGCAGCCTCATCGCCAACGGCACATGGGAGCTGGTCGAACGTCCACGCGGAGTGAACATTATGAAGAACCGGTGGGTGCTGACGACGAAGTACCACATCGATGATACGGTCGCTCGTGAGAAGGCACGCTAGGCTGGTCGTGAAGGGCTTCACGTAGGTCTACGGCGCTGACTACGAAGAGACGTACGCGCCGGTCAGCAGCTACGTCACGCTGAGGATCTTCCTCAGCATCGTCGCCGTCGACAGCTTGCACCTGATGCAGCTTGACATGAAGAATGCATTCCTGCAGAGTAAGCTGGACAGGGTGCTGTACATGTACCAGCCAGACTACTATGACGATGGAACTGGCCGGGTGTGCAAGCTGTTGAAAAGCCTCTACGGACTGAAGCAGTCACCACTGCTGTGGTACAGGGCCCTCGACGGAGTGCTGCTGGGCGCTGGCTGGAAGAAGAGCCAGGTTGACGAGGCTCTCTACTTCAAGGTCGGCGACGGAGGAGTGATGTGCTGGGTGCTCGTCTACGTCGACGACCTGCTCGCCGCCAGCAGCAGCCTCGCGATGCTGAAGGAGCTGAAGGAGCTGTTGGAGGCTGCCTTTGAGCTGCGCGAGATCAGCCCGGTCGAGAGGTACCTTGGGCTGGAAATCGTTCGCGACAGGTCGGCAAGGAAGCTGTGGCTGCACCAGCAGTCGTACATCGACAAGCTGCGTAGGCGTTTCATCGACGAGGAGCAGACTGGGCGCATCCCGAAGACGCCAGTCTCCGTCGACGCCTATGCGGAGCTGACATTCGATGACGAGGATGCTCAGTCTCGCGATGAGGAGGAGTACAGGCAGAAGGTCGGCTCGCTGCAGTTCGCGGCGACGACGACGAGGCCGGACATCGCGTTCGCGTGCAGCAAGCTGGGGAGTGGCCTGATAGTGCGGAGTGACAATCACTGGCGCGAGGTCGATCGTTGTCTGCACTACCTCGCCGACACCAGTGACACCGCTTTGGAGTTTGGCGGTGGACCAAATTCGCTGTGCCTGGTCAGCTACGTGGACGCAGACGACGCAGGCGACAAGCAGAACCGGACGAGCACAGGTGGCTATGTGTTCATCTTCGGAGGGGCCGCAGTTTCCTGGTCGAGCCAGCGCATCAAGTGTGCGACGCTCTCCTCGACCGAGTCAGAGTACGTCGCGGCCACGGAAGCTGGCAAGGAGGCTCGTCGACTTCGCTTCCTCCTTGCAGAGTTCAAGCTGTTGGACCCTGGGACGCCGACTGTCCTTCGTGTGGACAACCAGTCGGCCATCACTGTCGCGGAAGGCTTGGGGCTGAAGGGCAACCTCAAGCACATGGAGCGACGCTACGCATGGCTGCAGCAGATGGTGAAGCGCGAGAAGATCGCGTTGAAGTACATCCCAACCTCTGGGCAGCGAGCTGATTTCCTGACGAAGGGGCTGCACTTTCCGGCCTTCAACCGGTGCTCCGTCGCGATCGGCCAAGTTCGTCTGGCAGATGTCGGCGACGGTGACGACGATGTGCAGCAGTAGGTGCTGTTACCTTCTGCACGGCTGGTGCGGTGATCGACGTGCTGTGTGTTGTGTGAAAACGCCGAAGGATTTTCCCCGTGTATTATATCCCTTGAGTTCTGGGTGGACCTGATGCGTGGGGTGCCCAAGCGTGAGCGCGGCAGGGGAGTGTTGAAGGAAATTGGCCCCGCCCTCGCATGGGCAAATTGACTTGTGGTCGGGTGTGTGGGAGGTGCAGCCGACCTTCCGCAGAGGTCGACGAAGGTGGTCGTCGACCTGCGCGGAACCACTGTGACTTCGTCGACAAAGGAGTTCGACGAAGGAGTTCAACGAGGGTGGTCGACGAAGCAGTTTGCCGACCAGAGTGGCGCAGCTGGTGCAGAAGTTCGCGGGTGTTCGTCTGCGCAGGGTCGCTTCTGACCCTGCGCAACATTGAGACTGCACAGGCGAATTTTGGCCAGAAATTCGAATGTGCCTTAATTTCGACCAATCAGGAGCTGACATTTTGGAATCGATGTGTCCGACGAAGATGGTCGACGATCGTCGACCCCCGACGACGAAGGTCGTCGACCTGTGACGACGAAGGTCGTCAACCGGTGATGACGAAGGTCATCATCCTGCAGAGATGTCAGGGACTTCATTTGGTTGACCAAGTTACCTGCTCGACGAGTGCGCGAAGGTGTGCGAACGTCGTCGAGGCTGCTGTGGCGAAGTCGACCGACGTGGCAGCACGTGGTCGACGTGGCTCATCATGTGCAACCGTTAGCATGTGGCTGACAACTTGCGCGATGTACTTGACAGTGCACGTTGTGCATAACTGTCTACAAGCACCTGCAAAGTAGGTGCTTGCACATGTGCTTACAATCACCTGCGGATGCTGCGTTGGCAAGCCACGCGGGAGCAGCGTTGGCAAGTCGCACACAAGCTGCGTTGGCGGGCCCTGGAGATGCTGCGTTGGCATGTCATCAACTTTGTCGTGCTGGCGATCGACCTGCCTGAGCACTAGCAAACCTTGCATGTGATGTCGTCAATCTTTGCCATTGCTTCTGAACTTTGTTATCCTCAACATTCCTTAGTGAAACTCTTGCTGTTTTGCCCTGTGAAAACACAAGTCCTAGAGAACACAGACAGAGCTTTGATCACTCCTACAACTAGTGCCCACGCCATAGTCTAGCTCCCACCGTTGTAGAGTTAATCTCCTCAGTCTGGAGTTTGTTGCTATGATTCCGAAGAGCCACCCAGAGGGGGGGGTTCCTGGTGGGGGCGAACTCGGTGTTCCGCATGCTGCCCCCCGCCGTGCAGCGCGCCACCTTCAAAGTCGATGAGAAGCTGCTGGAGAAGCTGCGGGCTACTAGGCAGAGCGAGTTTGGCATCCTGCCGCCCAGGAGGAGCAAGGGAGAGGGGGAGGAGGAGGAGATGCCGATGCTCATTGAGCGGGTGGTGGGGTTTTGAGTGGCTTTGCTGCGTTGTGTGGGTGGGTATGGTTCAATTTTAGTACCACTACAATGTAAATAGTGTGAGACCTGGTTTGTGTGCTTGTCTCATGTGCTCTATATGAGAAGTGCTGTCGCTAGTCTGTGTTCTCGGCAAGCTGAACTTGCCAAAATAACAATCGAATTTTTTACTGGTAAGAATAATATGCAATTTCGTGATTAGCATATTTTCTTCAAGCATGTTTTAGACGAGATGGTAGATAGATCACAGCGAGGTAAACTTTGGTGAGCGATGAGCTGTGTCAGTTCGGCAAGGTCAGCAAGGTGACCGGAGTTTCCAGCCAGCAGCATCGTGAACATTCGCTTCCTTCGAGGACAAACGCCCGGATAGGCTTCGCTCGCATCCATCTGGATCTCGCAGAAGTTCGTTCATGCGAATTGATCCTGCGATAACCGTTTTGCGAGAGGCACACCAACAGACACCACGCTGCAGCCCAACAAGCTTGTGGTGTTTTCTAGGTCGACTAGGGGTTATTTGCCCGTAGAACCATCGCGCGACAGAGCGACTTGCTCACAACTTCGACCAGAGAGCAACCCAACCGTCCGGGATACTGGAAACTTGTTGTTCAGTAGGGCAACCGCCATGTCATCGCGATTCGACAACTGCATGTCGTTAGACCCGCAGACAGCTCGACCAAGGGACCAGATGGTCAGAGGAGCTTCAACGAAATGGAAGCGTGGCCGATTCCGATCAGCGAATCGCATGAAGTCGTTTCGTTTACCCGTCGCTCGATCCGTTAAGGGAAACGGACTTCCACGCCCATGTCGCTGTCGACTCCCGTGGTTGGTTCGGCTCAGATCGAGCCTCCGATCGTTCTCTCTGCATCCCGACTGCAAATCCTGTCGGCAAGATCTGCATCTTCGCGGCAGAGCTGCTGGAATGCTTATCAGAACGGATCGGCGACCATTGGCGTTTCGCACACATGTCCCCACATGTCCCACGTGTCCCACATGACCGTGTCGGCGAGATCTGGAGCCTCGCAGATCTGCTGGAGTTCTCCCTGCCGACCGACCATTGACCTTACGTCGCTTTCCGTGTCTCCCTGCCGACCGACCATTGACCTCACGTCGCTTTCCGTGTCTCCCTGCCGACCGACCATTGACCTCACGTCGCTTTCCGTGTCTCCCTGCCGACCGACCATTGACCTCACGTCGCTTTCCGTGTCTCCCTGCCGACCGACCATTGACCTCACGTCGCTTTCCGTGTCTCCCTGCCGACCGACATTTGGCATGTCGCCCTCCTCTCCGTGTCTCACGGCTGCTTGCAATGCGCTGCAGCGTCCGGGCGAAGCAGACATGCGGAATTCCAAGCGGGTGTGGGGGGAGAGCAGAAGCAGGTTGCCAGTGGCGATGTTGCTAGAGGAACGATTGTGTAGGCAGCATGGTAATCGACGGTGACTGTTGCCGCGGACTGCTCACCTGCTCTCCATTGCATTGCAGTGATGATTCCTCACCACCTGCAGCTGCAGCACTAGGAAAGATTACTGCTCCATGCCAGAGGAACCGAAGCCTCCCTTAGCATCATCCACGCACCGCATTTCGCGGTCTACCGTGACCTATAAAGCGGCCATAATGGCTACTATGAAGCCATCAGCTCGCTTACTGCTCCCTCTAAGCCTTTCTCTAACAGATTCACTCTCCTCGCCAAGCCTCTCACGCTCCCCGCTTCTTTCCTCTAGTCTCCGCGCCTCTCCTCATGGCGACAGCTGCCATGCGCGTGCTGGTGCTGGCAGCGCTGGCGGTGGGGCTGCTGGCGGCGGCGGTGAGTGGAGCGCGGGACGCCATGAAGGTAGCCAGGGCGCTGGTCCCAAGGGGGGGCAGGCGCATTCTGGCGGCTGAGACCTTCGCTCACGACGCCCCTCTGCCCGGCTACCTCGACCACATCCCCCGCCGCCAGGCCCTCGCCACCAGTATGCGCTGCTGCTCTGCTCCCTCCACTCCCTCTCTGTCCACTCCCTTGTCTCTCGTTTCTCTGCTCCCTTTATCCCGTTTCTCTGCTCTCGTTGTCTGTCATTTCTCTGCTCTCCTCTCTATTCCCTGCTCCCGTCGCCACTCGTTTCCCTCATTCAATCAGCTGCCATTTTCCTGCTCCCCTCAGCACTCATTTCCCTGCTCCCCTCAGCACTCATTTCCCTGCTCCCCTCAGCACTCATTTCCCTGCTCCCCTCAGCACTCACTTCCCTGCTCCTCTCAACAACCATTTCCTTGCTCTCTTAAAATTCATCTCGATGGACCGTTCTTCTTCCCCGTTATCCTGATTATCCAATTCTTTATTTGTTATTTCTGTTCCAAGCCCCTTTCTCTGTCCCCCTTGGCCTTTTTTCTCCCCTCCCCATTTCTCTCTTTCTCTGCCCTCCCTGCCCGTTTCCTCTCATAAAATACAGCAGGGGGGTGCATAGTGGTGTTACATTCTTAAGCTGTTCTTTCTACCTTTCTCTGCCCCTAACCCCTTGCCTACCGTGCAGCCTGCGGGCGCACGACGGTGACGATCCGGTCGCAGTACCTGGGGCCGTACGACCTGCACAACAACATCTACAACATGACCTATTACAACGGCTGCGCCTACAACGTCACCAGCCCGCTGCGCGTGTGGCAATGCGCCGACTTCAACAACGTGTGGGAGGGCAGCCTCGACAACCCCGCGCCCAACCCCACGCAGTACCAGACAGGCGACATCTTTGTACAGTACTCGACGGGGTACTGTGAGGCGCACATGAACCGCGGTGCTGACGGCACTGTGCAGATGTTCCCCGGAGAGACGGTCAACATTCTGTATGCGTGGACCAGTGACTGGCGCCCCTGTGCGTCAGAGCTGCGCTTCAGCAACGGCAACAGCTACTCCATGGCTGACATTTCCGAGTGCCAGGCTGCTACCGTCATCTAGAGCTTGGGATAAGTTTGAAAGGGTTTACCGGTATAACATGCACATGATGGTTGCGATGTAAAATGTGGAGGAGGAGAGATGGTGGACGGTGGGGAGGAAATTTGGGATAGGTAATAATGTATGCAAAGAGTGTATACGTTGATGAATTATTCTAAATCTAAAGCTCATCTGTGCTACTTTCCAGAACGGTTTGCAACGATGATGTGGTGGCACACCTTGCCTCGTCCAAAGCCGTCGCCATCCAACTGTAAAAGTTGGCGAAAAGGCGAAGTTGGAGAAATTTGCATCACTATGTACGAATTTGGATACTTCATTCGTAAACTGACTACCCTTGAAGGCGGTAATTAACTGTACGCGGTACACATCGCAGACACGTGTGAATGGATTCAACAGTACAGTTGAGCTATCTAGAGACTACCGGTATCAGAACTCAAAGCTGCTGGTCTGCTGAGAAGGGTGCAGTTGCAGGGAAGCAGCAAGGTGTGGTTACGACATGTGGGAAATTATGTGCAGCCAATCACTGCTTTGCTTTGTGATGCCTCAAAGTGTATTAGAAATCAAAGCTGCTGGTTTGCTGAGAAGGGTGCGAATGCAGGGAAGCAGCAAGGTGTGGCTGGCCCATGAGGGAACAGGTGAGGCGGAATCTAGCCCTGATGTGTGCAAGCAGGGAGTCAAATTGGTCATCCTGTAACAGCGACAAATGTCATGCGGCGGAAAGGGGGCATGGATGGGGAGACGACAGAAAGAGATAGTGAGAACATGCAATGATGTGGGATACGGGAAGGTGAAGACATGAAAAGTGTGGTGTCAAAGATATGACCTCAAAGAAAATGGCAACAAGCAGAGATCAATGGGGTATGAGAGCAGGCGAGGCAAATAAAGGGGTATGAGAGCACGCGAGGCAAGATTGGTCCCGGCTTTTGAGTCGACTCAAAAGTCACCGCGAGATTGGGCCTGGCGATAGAAGAGTATTGCAGTGCAAATCGTACGGTAGGATGTGGTAAGATGCCGTTGGTTGCCGTGGGATGCAGTGGGATGCAGTGGGATGCAGTGGGATGCAGTGGGATGCAGTGGGATGCAGTGGGATGCAGTGGGATGCAGTGAGTTGAGGAAGCACCTGAAAGCACCTGCCCCAGCTGAGGTTTAAACAGTCTACCAAAGCATGATGTGGGGTTGCAACTATAGAAAGGTACGGACACTTTCTGTCATGGCTCAAAGAAGTTTAACAGGGAATCTAAAACAATCTCGCTGAAACACAGCTCCATGGTTGGATCTTGAGATGGCTCAGATCATTGATTGCTCCTACACTCACTTCGGGGTTGGTAACAGGGAAGTCAGATATGAGTTGCTGCAGCTGCTGCACGGCCTTGGTTGCCCTGAAGGGGAGAGAAGAATGGGCGGGATGGGAGGGAGGGATGAGAGGGATGGGAGGGAGAGATGGGAGGGTGGCGAGGAGGGGAGGTGGGAGAGGGAGGGGAAGGGGGAAGCAGTGGGTAGGGATGGGAGGGGGCGTGAGATGGGAGGAGGGGGGGGGGGGGGGGGGAGGGGGGGGGGGGGAGGAGGGGGAAAAGGCTGTGAGGGAAAGGAGTGCAGGGGGAGGGAGGAAAAGGGGGGTGAGGAGAGGGATCGACACAGGAAAATTGAGGAACGGAGGGAAGCACAGGCATGGTTGTAGTGGGAAGGAATGGATACGTGCAAGCTGAGCTTCTGTGGTACAGCAATGGCTGTTGTGGCTGTAGAGACACAACAAAGGCTATTATTCTAGTAGTTTTGACCTTTTATCTTGTCGATTATTGTGAAAGAGTAACGGACCATTGAAAGGGGTAGAGAGAGTAGGGAAGATCATGACTGGTTTGTAAAGGTTGCAGTTGGAGTGAGGAATGGAGAGAGGAGGTCGGATGGGGAGGTGGGGAGAAGACCAACGGGATGCACATTACTGTGTGAGGACCCGAGTTAGTTTGGAAGGGGGGGGGGGGGGGGGGGGGAAGCGGATGGGGGAAAAGGAAGGGAATTGGAGGGAAAGGAGATAGGGTGGTGGGGGGGAGGGGGGGTAGAAGAAGGAAATGGAGGACTGAAGGATGGAAACGGGCGCAAAAGAAGGGTATTGGCAGGATTGAACCAAGGGAAGATATGCATGAAAGGGCAGAGGATTGAACCAACCAAGGAAATAGGGAGCAAAGACAGCGGGATGCATGGAAGGACATGGAGTAGCTGGCAGGATCCAACGGTGGGGAGTAGAGGTGGAGTCTGGCCTGGGGGAGAATCGTGTGGAGGGGGCTGATTGGATGACTTGCTCCCATGCGGCTGCACAGCCCCACATGAAGCCCAGCTCGTCCCCTGATGGTGGTGTGGGATGCGGTGGAATGGGGTGGAAAGGGGTGTGGTGGGATGAGATGTGAGGGGAGGGGATGGGATGGGATGGAATGGGATAGGATGGGATGGGATGGAGTAAGGTGGGATGGGGTGGGATGGGGTGGGATGGGACGGGACTGTATGGGACGGGGCGAGGCGGGATGTGGTGGGATGTCTGTTCCATAAGGATGAATGCTGCGTGGTGTATATTCCACGATACATGGCAGATGAAACACGATGCATGAGTGTTACATGCATGTTCGAAAGTCAGCTCGTATGGTGAAGGATGATATTACATCGCCTACAGCGGACCTTATGCATACCATGTGCGGTGAACAGCGCACGTCAAACGAAGTTTCACCCACCTATCATGAACCCATGCTCCAAGCCCGTTTCTCTCCCCTCTTCCCTTCCCAATCGCAGGCCGTCCCTGTCAATCAACACAAAATGAGATCAGCCAATGATATTACTTTCTTGGGTAACTGCAGGCAGAGGGGAAATGGAGACCAAGAGAGGGAGACGCATGGTGAGAATGTAACAACGGTGTCTGGATTGAATACTGATAGCATTTCAGTCGACTCAAAAGTCCTCTCGGAAGTGAAGGAACGCGAACGTCGCAACTAGTGCGACGAGAACGCAACAACGACGCGGCTTAGTAAATCGCAATGACAAATTGCGAGAATGGTTCGACAAACGGAGAGAGGAGAAGACTGAGACAAGACGTCGCTCTGGGCACAGGCCCTAGTAGTATGCTGTGGTTCGTAACTTCTTCGCTAACGTACAAGCAGTGAAGGAAACGAGGGACAAGTGACGAAGATGCTCACTGATATCCCTCAGCGTAGCCCTGCGCTAATAATTGCTCTTCTAAGCCCACCACCGCGTCTAAGTCCATATGTTTCCCTGATGTCGCTTAGAACTCGCGGCGAAATCGACGCTTACAGCAAGAAACTACACGTTGGGGATTAAGGTTCAGCGTCTCAGTGTTAAAGATTGGCCATGGGAAGCGACACGCCCGATTAGGTTCCTAAAATTAAGGCGCGACGAAGGCCTTATATAAGACTTATATAAGGCCTTGTCATATGACAAGGCGCGACGAGGGTCCTATACTAGGGATCAGACTCACAAGGGACTCACAAGGGTTACACCTTCACCTTGTACAGTAGTGAGGTGCGGTTTGGCGGTGATGTTGGCTTTCATCAGCGGTTTGGGCTCAGGCCGCGTCAACTCCGACATTCGACTGGGCATGTTCGAACAGGCACCGTACTGAACCAAACTGATTGTTTTTTCAACGTACTGTACCAAACTAAACTTCTAGAATTTGGGTGTCAAACAGCTGGTTACCACCCGATGTAACTTGCCTCACCTCTCATAACTCGTAACACCTCGCCCTTGCCCCCACAAGTCCGACGGGTGAACAACAAATCGCTGCTGGAAGTGTTCCCCTCGTACTGCTGGGTTACGAATCATTTGCACTTCGCCAGCCAACTTCTCGTCGTCAAGTTCGCACATGCGAAATTGTTTCAAACACCCTTTCGACATTCGAAATTTCAATCACCATTTCAAGTGTACTGCATACCGCAAGCCACACTTGCCCTGGTTGCCAGCAAGAACATTTGCGACGAGGATTATAGCATGTGGTGCTTTCCCAGGAGAAAGTCTTATCAATCTTGTCATTCATCGAACAGAGCTTAGTGCTCCGGCTACTAAAGACCTCAGGCTGCTCGACCCACACTCTCTTCCATAGTTGGTCACGAGTTCCTTTCAAATCCTTCTTTTTGCGTCTTCTATAGCACGGATACTTCGACAGGTGCTTCCGTCTCCGCCTTCTAGCAAAACCTCCGTCCACCATTCAACAAAATGGCGAAGAGAATCCGTCAGTGAGCAATACTTCGCTTTCATTCCCTATCTGTTTTATCTTCCTTCGGACCGAGTCTGCGGGCCCTCTTTCACCTTTCCGTCGTGGTTTTTGTTCAACGAACAATAATGACCAGACCTCAGTCGTTTTGACGGTTTAAATTATTTGAAGGATGATTGTCTTTGTGCTTCTCCGGTTTAGTACGGCTGTTTGGTTGAGGAAAGGACGCGAAGAGAGAGGGGGGGATGGGAAGGAGGGAAAGAGTGAATAACAGCATTCAGCACTCCCTTGCAGTGCGTCTACGTTCCATTCGCTCCCGCAGCATCCACTCTTCCCTGTGTGCCCTGGTTGAGGACCCAAGCTTTCTGAGCTGTCTTCAAACAGTTTCACAACATGCAAGGCTGCTGTGCTTCTAGATGCAATTGTTGCTTCAACTCTCGCCATGCATATTCCCATCACTATTCTGTCGTGACAGTCAAGTAAGCGCAAAACCTTATATGGTTCTACTGTTTTGTTATTGCAGAGAGGGCAATGGTGGTGAACCATCGAAACAAAGGTACTCAAATTCTGTTTTATGTGTGCGGAAACTTGCGATTGTTTGCTTATTTATTTTGCGCTTCACTATTTTGTCAAGAGAAGTAGTATGCCTGACTTTAGTTTCCGTAGGGGTTTGAGAATTTGGCAGGCATCCTAATCTATCGTGTTTTATAACGAAACTCAAGGACATGTTCGAGAAAGAAAAGTTCACTGATGTGACCTTTGAGGCCTCGGATGGAACCAGGGTCGCTGCACACCGTAACATCGTTGCACAATGGTGAGTTCGTTTTCCGTTCTTATTCTTACCGTATTGTTCTTACATTTGTTTTGCGGTAATGTCTGGTGTTGGCTGGATTCATTTTCCTAGAACGTTTCTTTCAAACTTTCTGTTTTCTTGTTTTTTCCAGGTCTCCCGTATTAGAGGCGCTGTTTGAGACGTCTCAGGATCAGAATGAGAAGGGGTCAATTGTCAAGATCAATGACATGGATGCAGGGACATTGAAGCTGCTCGTGTCATTCATGTATGGCTGCACCATGGAGCTCCCTAAAGAAAATCGCAAGGTGCGAATGTGCAATGCAACTTCTTTCAGTTCTGTCCCCTCTTGTATCACTGGTTGATAGCACTGTAGTCTCCTTAACTTCCTGAAGTGCCCATGCAGTAAATGTCAGGCGTATAAGCTTTCTTGAGACACCATGCTTCCCACACTCAACAGAAACATGGATTTGCTCTTCTGGAAGCGGCACACAAGTACAACGTGCCTGAGCTGGTAGATGAGATGGATCGCCAGTTGTCCACATTGCCGGTTGAAGAGGGGACTCTCCTCAATGACTTGAAATTTGTGGACAACCTTGGAGCTGAACGAACTATGAAGGCCATGGTTATCTACCTGGTGCATAAAATGGCTGAGGGGGAAAGCAAGAAGCTTATTCAGGTCTGTTATTGCGTTTTTTCTTCTCTGAGAGGGAATGCATGACTGCTTTACCGTTTTTTCTACTAATCAAGTTGCTTCTTGTTCAGGAAATGATCAAGAGTAGTGACAGCCACGACCGAGAGTTGGCAGCTTATGTTGTTGCTGGTATCTGGTCAACGAGGAACCTTTATTACTAGGCTGTCTGGACTCCGTATTATTTCATGCATTGGCTTCCTCAGCCTTCTTTGTCGTCCTGCCTTGTACCTACTACCTGGTACCGGTCTTGTGAACTCTATCTCTTTACACCAATTTCACTGATTATCAGTGTCTACTACTCTTAGTTTGTAGCTACACATGACTGTAAAAATTGCCGTCAGTGTTGATGCCACCTAACAAAACAACACAGGACAAAGTACCTCGTTCCACATGTTGTAGGTGTTTCACTCTACTCAGTCACTCCTGGCCCTGCTCTCATTTTCTTAGCCTCTAATATAGCCGCCCTCTCAGCCTGTTTCTTCTTTGCTTCAATCGCAGCCGCCTTCTCCTCCTGTTTCCTCCTTTTCTCAGCAATAGCAGCAGCCTTCTCTTCTTGCAACCTCTTCTTCTCTGCAATTGCCGCTGCTTTCTCTTCTTGCTTCCGCTTCTTCTGCGCAACCACAGCCGCTTTTTCCTCCTGCCTTTTCTTCTTGTCAGCAATCGCAGCAGCTTTCTCCTCCTGCCTTCTCTTCTTCTCAGCAATCTCAGCCGCTTTCTCTGCCTGAATTTGCTTCTTCGCCTCCAAAGCAGCCTTCTTAGCCGCAGCAGCCGCCGCACGTCGTGCTGCCTCTTCCTTCCTCTGCCTCTCCACCTCCTCAGGACCTCCAGTCACCGACCCGCCTCCGCCACCTGACCCACCTCCGCCACCTGACCCACCTCCGCCACCTGACCCACCTCCGCCACCTGACCCACCTCCGCCACCTGACCCACCACCAGGAGCAGTGCCGTTCGTTGACGTGCCAGACGAACCGCCGCCTTCGGTGCCAGGGGCAGTGCTGTTTGCTGCTGACGTGCCACCACTGCCAGATGAACCGCCTTGATGGCAGGGGCAGTGAGGTCCCTCGTCACTGCCGTCCGCACAGTCAGCCACGCCTTTGCACTCGCCACCTGGGGGCATACAACCGACCTTAGACGGGCAGTAGGCCTGGTGGATGTGACAAGGGGCACGGGTGAAGGATATAGATAGGGGGAAAGGGAATGGGCGGGGAAGAGGGGAGTGCAGGGTGGGGGAGGGAACACAGAGTTGGGGAGAGAACATAGATGAGCTGTCTTGGTACGCGAGGCATTGCCGCCCTTGTTGCTGCCATCCGTGCAGTCGACCACGCCGTTGCACTCGCCGCCTGGGGGCATGCAGCCGATCCTCGATGGACAGTAGAGGCCTGGCGGGAACGAGAACGGGCAGGGAAGACGGAAACACAGGAGGGGAAGGTGACGGGCAGGGATAAAGGAGACAGAAATTGAGAGAGCGAACGGGCAGGAAGAAGGAAACTCAGAGTAGGGGAGAGAGAACAGGCGGGGAAGAAGAAGAATAGGGGGGAGTGGGGAGAGCGGGGGGAGGGGGAGGGAGATGGTGTGTGAAGGGGGTTAGAATGGGCAGGGAAGAAAGAATAGAGGGGGTAATAAAGGTGAAGGACTCGCACAGACGAAGGAAGCGCGGAGGGAAAGAATCAGCAGGAACGAAGGAAGCGCAGGATGGGGTAGATAACGGGCAGGAAAGAAGAAATCACAGAGGGAGGTAGAGATCGGGCAGGATAGAAATAAACACAGAGAGGGAAAGCTAACCGGCAGGCGGGAGGGAGAACGGGTAGAGAGGAAGAAAAAACAGGGGGAGGTGGGGGAGAGAATGGCTCGGCGAATGAGGACACATGGAAGGCAAGGGAAAGATTTTTGGGGAAATTCCCTTCGACTGAACTCGACATTCTCAAAACTGACCAGAACTGTATGCAGTGCACTGCACGTCTTGCATACGGCGATTGCTGCTAGCAGTGCGGCTAACATGATCGCTACCAGCACAACCACGCACCCTCCCAACGTTGTCGCAGACGAAGTTGGTGCAGAACGCCATCGACTCGTCGCTACCATCGGCGCAGTGGGGCTTGCCGTCGCACGCCTCCCATTCCTGCATGCACCCGCCGCCGCTGGGGCAGTACAGTTGGAACTGCTCGGGGTTGCACACAGGGCCCTCCTCATACGGCGGGTACAGCAGCGCGTCGCAGAAGTCGACGCCCTCGTCGCTCGCGTCGCCGCAGTCGGGCGCGCCGTCGCAGAGTCGCGCGGTTGCGACGCAGCCGCCGCGGCCGCCGTTGCAGGACTGCGACGCCCCCGTGCGGCATTCCGCGGTGGCTTGAAGGGTCCGCGCCGGGCTGCGGAAGGTGGAAAATAAGGCACTGACGGACGGTCGAGCGTCGATTGTGTGAGAACCGAGGAGGAGTAGGAGGAGGAAAGGGAGGACGGATGACATGTTGCTGCTGCTGGTTTCCCTATAGATTCTCCCGACTATGATGGCTCAGCTGTAGTGACGGTCAGATCATCCGTGTGAATTGTTCTGTACAGCGAGGTGGACTAAAGAGGGCAATGTCACATCGTGACATAGTACTTGGTCCTGGGATCTCCGAGAAGCTGCACCACCCCCTCTTCAACACTCCTGGCGAAATAACACCCGCATGCGTCGCTCCTACCCGCTCCAGTTTCCAGCAGGCCAGGCCGTTGCGCGAATGACAGTTGTCGTCTGTCCTAACGGCAGATTCACAGCACAGCCATTTTTTATTGGGCGAGTGGATGGAACGGGGGACTGTGGAGTTGTTCATCGTGAGGGACTGGGCCGCACGCGCTAGTTTTGGCGGAGCTCGAGTTCCCGCGTGTGAACGCGCAGGTTGCATCTGGAATGGCGGCTCGCAACAGAGCAGGAATTATAAATTCTCTCGTCTCCAATAGGGTAAAACAAAGAACGGATTCACTGGCAAGGGGAGGTGGATATGGGAAGTGCGGAGCTGAGCGGGAGTGGTTTTGGGGGAGGCGAGGGTGTAAGGGCTGCTTGGGCGCAATGGGTGGAATGGGCGCTTCTCTCTCCCCCCATATCTCCGAATAGTAAAAATGGCGGAAGAAAGAACAAACAGCAGGTGGTGGACGGCCACTCCAGGATAAGAGGGAGGTCGTCGTCAGGGAGGACCAATTCCCTGCGAATTCATCTGCCAGGTGTTGGCGAGTACAAATTTCCTGCGGCGAATGAAACACGCCAGTTCTGGGGTTGCGGCGAAAGAACGCGAAGGGATGAAAAGGGGAAGAGGACGAATGACTATACGTAGTTACAAAGGCGAACCGTGTTGTCAAGCTCGCTAAGGCAAAATGCTCAAGCTGAGTTTGGTGATGAATCTGGGCCGCTCGTGTTTCCTTCCACGACGAACTGTTCGGCAAATATTCCCGTTATTGTTTTCGAGAACTGATCGCGAACTCCTCCCAGTCTCGTTACGGTAAAATAGAAACACTCGTTCCACCGAATTGGTAGAAATAGGGAAATGCAGAGTAGTTTGATGCTCATCCTGCATGTCCCCCATCCACTGCTTGTCGGCTGAAAAACGCGAGGCGTGAAGCCAGAGCGTGAAAGCCTGAGATAGGCATGAAGGAAGTGTCGAAGCGTGAAGGTGTGGCTCCCGAGCACATGCAGGGGACATGGCTTGGGACTATTTTTCTTGAAATCTTCACGCACGCATTCGCTGCATGCTCGCAAGCAGTCTGGCGGAATCGGCCCTGGAGCATTCGACTATTTTCTAAGAGTTGATTCAGTATGCACCTCCTAAGCTTAAGTTGTGGCTTTATAAATTCGACGAAACTTACCTTGCAATGACGATCGCCTACTCGGACAGACAAGCTCCCGAGCAGTTCTGATTTTCCTTCGTCTGCCGGTTTCTCATCCAGATCCGCCATTCCGCAGTACCGCTTTTGACTCTGTCTCCATGGCTGATTCTACGGGGTCGTCGATGAAGGTCATTGTTCTGTTCAGCAAGGTGAGCAGCTTCGGCCTGAGGAATGGTTCTTGCCATTCGAATTCCACTTCTCATGAATTCTATGATTCCAAATTTCAGGCACAAGCACAAGTTCTATATCTGGAGGCTGGGAAGGATTTTGTCGATCTTCTCATGTCACTCCTTCGTATGCCGACCGCGAGTCTGCTGAAACTGCTCAAGGAAACCGGGAATCTGAACCGAGGTCGAAAAGTTGGGATTTTCAATGTTTTTACCAGCGCTGACAAACTCGACAGGTCGTACATGAAGGTGGAGAAGGATGTTCTCCTGAACCCCTCCCAAACGGAACTGTCCTCTCAGCTGCGATTCCTCCGCTGCCAGGATGATGCTGTCTATTACTACACCTGTCCGACTGCAGAGCATTGGTCCATCTCACTGCTTCCAGGTGTGAAGTGTACCAGCTGTGAGCAGATCATGCCCCAGGCGGTGAAGCAGATTGACGGAGAGACCGTGAATGCTTTTCAGGCGTTGTACACATGCGCTCAGCGTCACAGGGTGGGAAATACAAATACAAGCGTGTGTCCTGACTGTTCTGCCGCCTTTGACAAGCCTGTGACTCGTGCTTGTAACGATCAGTTGCTAGGGCATCCTGGAGGCTTTGTCAAGGAGACGGTGACCTTCATGGTCACGGATGACCTGGAATTCTTCCCCAGCTCCACTATTAAGAGCATCAAGGCGCTGAGCAGCATGGGTGTGAAGTCAATGTCTGATTTGGAGAGCTACGAGATCAACGTGACCAAGGACCAAGTAAGTTGCTGTGCATGCATCTTCTCCAGGATGGGGTTTTACAATGGTACCTTACCATATAATGCTTCTCTTCATGCAGGCGCTGGCGCTTGTCCAAGCTGAATTGGCATCATCTACAGCTCTTAACGATGTGTTTGGGAGTGTTGTTGGAAGTGTTAGTGGTGCTGGCGGTGATGTTCCTACTGAAGTTGGTGCATGAGATGGATCAGGCAAACCCCTGAAATGGAAGTGCTCATGTACAGACGACAGTTCAATAGTGAGTGTGGTGCTGTGCTTTTTGTAATGCATCGGTAAACTGTACAGAGCGTTGCTTTAGCTACCATATATTGGCATCCTGCGAACAGGGTACGGTAGATGAGCACCTTGGTGATACCAGTATATCAGCTCGGCTTGCATATATTCATGCTGCATGTTCAGTGTTCACATTCATTAACCCAGCAGTGTAGCTACACTGCTTGATTGAACCCAGATCTGCCTGATGCCACATTAGTCAAGCCTCAGAATGTGAACAATAAGTGCGGCGAGAAGGAAGTGACGGCTCTGCCTGCTGCTGTCATGTCAGCCTTGATGAGCGGCTCCAATGCCATCAGCTTCTGATTGTGGAGAAGGATAGGGAAAAGGGGAAACATTTACCGTATATGGTAGAAGCAGCCATAAGAGATGGGGGAAGGGATGGCTTGCAGAATTTGATATCTCGTGACTGTCAGCACATGGCTGATATGCATGAGCACAGGGTGTTGCTGGACAAGTCACGAGCCGCTGGTACCCTCATCACATACCTTCGTAATGATCCAGCCCTGGCTTAACCCTCACCTTCCTCGTTAAACCATAACTGGCCCTCGCTCGTGCGTAATGGATGATATAAGATAATTCACGAGGTATGAATTTGTCAGAATTGACAATCTATGCACGATCTGTGAGGAGTTGCAGCGTATGGGTGGAATGGCATGACTAACCGTGCAGGGTGGATGTCATGAGTAATATTGCATGTTTGAATGTCATCACTGATAACAAATAGCAGATGAGTCGTGAATGATATTGTGTGATTGGCCTGCCAGGACTGATGATGCAATGCAGGGCACGTACTGCAGGCCATAAATCAATTAGGAGTGTCATGTGTCATAATGCATGAGTTACCATGCATGACTCACAATGCATGACTGATAGCGCATGATTGCAATGCATGAGTAAAAAAGCATGGCGCAGAATGCATCACTAATAGCGCATGACCACAGAGCACGTGTCACAACGGTGCATGACTGGATGCGATGCAGCACAGCGCATGGATGGTGCATGTTGCTGCTCTGCACATACCTGTGCCTCTTCCCTCCTCCGCCTTCTGCTGCCTCTGCTGCAGGCTGCATCTCGCCAGTCCTGAGCTCACACAGAGCAGGAAGAGACGTGGCTCCGTTATAAGAGATCTCGTTAAACGAGCTGGACGAATACAATGGCAGTGAGAGCGCTGCACTGCACCCATCTACTGTAACACCCTCCCCCCCCACCCCACGTTCCAACTGCATGGAAAACACAGTGCTGCACCTCCTTGCCACCCCTTGCCCCTAATTTCCCTTTTCCTGCATTTTCGTCATTCCCTCATCTGCCACCACTAACCGCTGCCCATTCCTCACTCGCCCCTTTGCCTGCCCCCCCTCGCGCCTCTCTCCCTTGGCTGGCCTTTGCAGCGCCTCAAAAGTCACTCAGAGGCTTCACCAAAAGCACTCGGCCCCAATGCTTGCTCCCTCTCCCACCGCAACCCCCACACCTCTCACCTCTCTTGCCGCTAGTCCATCCGAGCATCAGCAATCTCTCTACTTCAACTCTGTTCCCCATGCCCCGTGCCTTCTTGCCTTGCTGCTTCTTGCACTGCCCCCATCCCACCCCCTGCTGCCGTGGGTGGCCCCTTCCCCTTGCCATGGTTCCCCCCACCGCCACCTCCCCTCCCCTTTTACCCTCTACCCCCAAACACTCCTCACGCCCACGCTTCACATCACGCAAAAGCCAAAACCAGCTGCCCCTGTCCCTCCACCTCTCCCCCTCCCGCATCCCATCTCCTCTCCCCCGACTCTCTCTAGCGATCCAACCGGAGGCGCAAACTGCAGGTTCCCCAGGCACACCACAGCACCCACCCCTTTCCGCACACAGCACCTCCCCCTGTCTCTCACCCCCCTCGCCTCTCCATTTGCCCCACAGCTCCCTCACCCCCACCCACCCTTCCCCTCGCTACGAGCGACTCACTATGGCGAGTCCAATGGTGACCCAAACAGCAGCTTCCCAGGGCGCATTACGAGCTTGCAGTGCATCAGTCCAAAGTGGACTGCCCTAGCTGTGACTGGCCGGCGCACTACATCTCCACGTTCCACACTCCATGCTCTGCGCTCCCCACCTGCGCCCGCGCCCATCCCAGTCTGCGCACTCCCCCTCGCCCTGCGCTGTTGCTCCGTGTTGCGCTCGCCTCCTCCCCGCCCGCTCGTCTTCACCCACCCCCCCGCCCCAGTCCGGATCTCACCACTGTGCCCTCTCCCGCGCCTCACTGCCTCATCCCCTTCCGCGCCCCATCCGCTGAGTGTGCATGCCGCATCCTGAAAGCGAAGGTTTGAGGGTTTAAGGTTTGCCGTAGATCATACCGTTGAGGTTTGAGTCCGTTGCGCGCTAAGCCCTGATCTTCCCCCTCCTCCCGTTCCCAGCCTCCTCCCGTTGGCAGCGCTCAGAACATATCGCGAGCGGAACATCTCTCTCAAATCTAAGCGCCGATTCTTCCCACCGCCGCCGCATTCTGTGCTCCGCCTCTCCCCGCGCTGCCCCCATCCGGACCTACCACAATCTCCCAACGACCAGCCGCGGCATTCTCCCGCCTATCCCCGCGCAGGCTTCGTCCGGACCCGCCGCCCCCATCAACGAGGCAATTATCGGGTCATTAAAAATTCCTACTCATGAGTCAATTCAAAAATCTCCCGACCCCGCCTTCGCCAGTGCCACCGCGCTTGCCCCTGTTCGCCTGCGCAGTTCCTGCTTGACCAGCGTTGACCCGCGGTGACCGCAATGACTGTTTTCCCCACTCTGCCCACTCGTCCCCTTATCCCCCAACTTCCCCTGTTTCCCCTTCTTCCCCTTTCCCCTCCTCCTCCTTTCGGAAACCCGTTTTACTGTGCTTCTCCTAGGGCGTTACATGTTTTTCGCAGTGTGATATTAACGGATCGCAGGCTGAGTCTGGAACCGCTGTCAGATATCAGCGAGTCGCACACTCTGCACTGGTGCGACGCACCGTCGCACGCGCGTTGCCGCATGGTGTGACACGCTCGGTGGTGGCTGTTGCGACTCAAAAGTGTTTCCGCAACCCCTCGCTACTAACGGGTCTGGGTCCAGATGCAAATCCGCTATAAGCACAGTGAGTGACAGATTGGCAGTGGTGGATGTCGCAGAATCGTAGGATGTCTGTATCACTGTTAGCGAAGGAATCTGGTTAGCGAAGTCCTGATGACCTCAATACGGGTTACCACGCAGAATTCGCACACGGGAAGGAATCTGCACCGATGATCTGCAGTTCGTTTGTTGCGCTTAGACCTAGGTTCTGTGCGATTCAATATCATTCCGTGCGGTAATAACTTTCTACGAATCTCGTATTCCCGCACTGCCACTTCCCACTCTTTCGTTACACCCCCCTACCCCCAACCCAACCCCTCCAAACTCCCCAACCCCTTCCAACTCCCCTTGTTCCCCCCACCTCCCTTTCTGGGTTTGGTTGGCGGGACTGCTTCAGCCTTATAATGCGGATTTCTGAATAAGGCGTGGAAGCACGACTTTTGGGCAGCTGAAACAGGGCTACGGCGCTACTAAGGAGAGAGAGCGCCGTAGCTAGAAGAAATAGAAGATTGCAGCGGAAGGTAGAGAAGCTAAGTTAAAGCCGGGAGAGAAACGCCTAGCTCTGAGAGACGAGAGAATATTGAAGAGATTCCAAGAGGATACAGGATGATACAACAAGATTCCTAAGAGAATATTTATGCTAGGAGAAGAGAGGTGCGACTCGGATAGGAATACCGTGTCGCTATGTTATCTAGCATTGCATCTCGACATCAAGCCTCGATGCTATGCTCTGCTGTCCTATTCTTTCTGACAGGGATAAGGGGAAAGGCCCGAGGCTAGCAAGTGTACTGTTCGTAGCTAGCTAGACAAGGACCCATTCGAGAATTCCCATGCATCTCGCATGGTGAATTCCGTCTTGTTACATAATTCCCCTCCCTAAGAAGCATCGTCCCGATGCTTACCCCAAGCTAACTAATCAAAGGTCTAAACCAGAGAATACAACAAGGAGGTATGTACAAGAACAACAATTCTTCATTCTTGGTCTTCTCTTGGTCATCATGGTTCTTCAAGCTTCGTAGAATCCAGGGAGAAGGTCGGCATGCAGCTGCATCCCATACTACAGCTCTTGCGGCCATATGCAGCTTCCAATCATTGGGTGGGGGTCTCCCAAATATCCTTCCGTGTGAATAATCTCAACCAAGCCCATGCTTCACAGCTATGGCGCTTCTCACTGCACACGTACCCCATACCAAGCTGCCTCAAGGCTGGTGCCTCTAGCACGTCCAGCAATACCGCCAAGCATGCCTAGAAGAGATTCAGAAAGTAAGAGGTACAAGCTTCCTTCCTAGCCAAGCATCCTTGTGGATTCACTAAAGAGGTGAAATAAGGTGCTTCAGCTTTTTATATGTTACAGAGCTTTAGACTAGGAGCAGGGAAGTTTCTAGAATCAGAAAAGAGGAAGGATAGGATTTAGAGACATCATTGCCTTGCTTGTAATTGCTCTATTGACTATCAGCAGTTTAGAGCAAAAGCAAGAACACGTAAGGATATAAGTGTTTCTCAGTTTCCAGCAAATGGCTCAGATTGTAGAGGTTAGACAGAAGAAGCGAGGACTTCCACGAATTCAGGTTGGAAGACCAAGAAGAAAATTTCCAGCAGAATGTTTTGAGGTGAAGAAATTGGATTTCAGAACGCTTTTTACCCAACTTCACCTCAGTCCAAAGAGATTGAGTGAAGCTCGAAGTGGTGTAGCAGTAGGAAGGCGCCTCAAGCACAGAAGGGTCATTTTGAGACTCGAAATTCTGCTCCCACACTTTCTGGTTGGCTGAAATTCGCCCAATCACAGGTTCACGAACCTTCACCAAGCAGATTTCGATTTCACCAAGCAGATTTCGCGGG